AAATCAAACGATGTATTGCATTAAGCAAATCTGCTGCAAAAGAACTTTTTAATGTGTCAAAAAACAAAGATGTCAGCTTGAGGACTAAGGTGTGCCTGACCCAAGCCATGTTATCTTCAATAACCTGATATGCATGTAAAAGCTGGACAGTGAATAAGGAAGACCGTAGAATTGATGCTTTTGAGTTACGGTGTTGGAGGAGAATATTGAAAGTGACATGGGCTGCCAAAAGAACCAATAGATCTGTGTTGGCAGAAGTGAAGCTACAGTGCTCCTTGGAGGCCAGGATGGCCAAACTTCATGTCTCATACTTCAGACATATTGTCAGGAGGAACCACTTCATGGAGAAGGATATCATGTTTGGTAGGGTAGACGGTCAGAGAAAAAGAGGAAGACCCCAGTGAGATGGATTGGCAAAGTGGCAGCAGCAATGGGCTCGAGCGTGGTAATGATAGTGAGTTTGGCCCAGGATCGGGCAGTGTTTCGTTCTGATGTGCACAGAATCACTATGAGTCGGTACCGACTTGATGGTACCTAACAACAACAACATAATGTAAAGAAAACAAAAATCGTCACTATTGGACCAATAAAAATTTTATAAAAAGAGAAAAGATTGATGTTGTCAAAGACTTCATTTTGCTTGGATCCACTATCAGCATTCATGGAAGCAACAGTCAAGAAATCAACTGACTTACTTCATTAAGCAAATTTGCTGCACAAAACTTCCTTAAAGTGTTCAGGGACAAAGGTGCTAGTTTGAGGACTAAGGTCCATCTGACCCAAACCACAGTATTTTCAACAGCCTCATATGCATGTAAAAGTTGCACAATGTATAAAAGACCTGAAAAGACCTGAGTTATGGTGTTTGAGAAGTGTTAATAGTAGTACACCCAGAATGCTCCTTAGAAGCCATGATGGCCAGAATTTGTCTCTCATACTTCAGACATAGTATCATAAGGGGCCAGTCTCTGGAATAGGACATCATGTTTGGTAGGCTGGAGAGTCAGTGAATAAAAGACAGACCCCCAACCAGATGTCATGGCACAGTGGCAGCAGAAGAGTCAAAAGTAGCAAAGTGTCGAAACTGACTCGATAGCACTTAACAACAACAAACCTTACTTAAAGCTTTCCAGCAAATATACTGATATATAGAAAAGCTGGGATTCCTGCTCCCTCAAGGTTGCTGTGAATCAGTACTCAAAGGCATTCACTATTGATGTTCAGTGCATTAAAAAAATGATCATTTGTTGTTGCTATTAAGTGCCATTATGACCCCATATATATGGTTTCCAAAGAGCATCTTGTGGGTTTAAACCACCCATCTTTTGGTTTGCAGTCCAGTGCTTATCCTACAGCACTACACCAGGACTCCTAAAATTATCACATGACACTGTAAAATTCAATAATTAATGTAGCCGTGCAGGCATAATTTGGAAGATCTTTTGACATTTAGACATTTGCTAACCATGAATGACTTTAAAAACAAGTCACCACCACTCACAGTTCAGTTTTGAGAAATTTTCGAAATCAAAGACACTG